TCGTTGCAAGTCGCAACGCAGTTTTCGTTGCTACGTAGCAACGAAAAAAATGCGTTGCAAAGCGTTGCAAAAACGTTTGAATTCGTTGCTAATGCGTTGCAAAAAATTTTCGTTGACAAACGTTGCTAAAGCGTTGCAAACTTAGCAACGAAAATTATTTCGTTGCAAATTTCATTGCAAAATCGCTGTTTTTTTGTAGTGTGATCTCTTAGGAATTAGATTCGCTCTTGAGATACCAGGAAAACCCAACATGACTAAGAGCTTAGCCAAACTACATGGGATGCTGAAATTGGCCGAGCAGGATATCGTGGTGTGTAAGACTGTGCTTGTTGTTAAGAACAACTCCAGCAAGAAGCGGCGGGGCAAAGCCAAAAAGAAGGCAGCGAAAAAGGCAAAAGTTGCCTCTACGCCTAAGCCTAAGCCCGATAAAGGTGACTGTCATTACTGCGGAGTGTCTGGACACTGGAAGCGTAATTGTCACCCTTACTTGGAGGATCTGAAGGATAAGAAGCTTGGTGAAGCTTCTGCCTCAGGTATTCATGTTATAGAAGCTAACATCTGTACTACATCTTCGTGGGTATTGGATATCGGAAGTGCCTCACACATTTGTGGAAATGTGCAGGGACTAAGAAGAAGTAGGATGCTGGCTAAGGGAGAAGCGGATCTACGCGTCAGAAATGGAGCAAGAGTTGCTGCATTGTGTGTTGGCGTTTATGATTTGCATCTTCCTTCTGGACTTGTTTTAGAATTAAGTAATTGTTACTATGTTCCTGCGATTAGCAGAAACATTATTTCTATTTCTTGTCTGGATTTGGATGGTTTTCGATTTGTTATTGAGAACTCGAGTTTGATAATTTATCGAGACAGCATTTACTATGGTAATGGTTATCTAATTAATGGTTTATACGTCTTGAATGATCAGCCTTCAAACTCAACATCATCCATCTATAGCGTGAGTACTAAACGGTTTAAGCCGAACGACTTAAACCCGACCTTCCTCTGGCATTGTCGTCTAGGCCATATAAACGAGAAATGCATTCAGAAGCTTCATCATGAAGGTCTTCTGGATTCATTTGACTTTAAGTCTCTTGAATCTTGCGAGTCTTGTTTGATGAGCAAGATGACAAAGCATTCTTTCAAGGGGAAAGGACAGAGAGCGACGAAGTTATTGGTTCTCATACATAGTGATGTATGCGGACCAATGAGCTGTCCAGCTAGAGGAGGTTTTCTGTATTTCGTTACGTTCACTGATGATTTCAGTCGATACGGTTATATCTATTTGATGAGACATAAGTCTGAAACACTTGAAATGTTCAAGGCTTTTAGAAACGAAGTACAGAACCAGCTTGGCAAGACGATCAAGACACTTCGATCGGATCGTGATGGCGAGTATATGAGCCAAGAGTTCACTAACTATCTGGTTGATTGTGGTATTGTATCACAATTAACTCCTCCTGGAACGCCACAGTGGAACGACGTGTCTGAACGGAGGAATCGAACACTGTTAGACATGGTTCGGTCTATGATGAGTCATACAGATCTTCCGAAGTCCTTTTGGGGCTATGCTTTAGAGACCGCTGCGTACCTGTTGAACAGGAGTCCAACGAAGTCGGCTGAAACGACACCATATGAGATATGGACGGGGAAGCGTCCCGCGTTATCGTTTGTCAGAATTTGGGGTTGCGACGCTTACGTGAAGCGTCAGATGGCTGATAAGTTATCCTCCAAATCTGATAAGTGTTTATTTGTAGGCTACCCTAAGGAAACTAAGGGTTACTACTTCTATATTCCGGCAGAGAACAAAGTGTTCATTGCCAAGAATGCGACTTTTATGGAACGAGAGTTCGTCTCCAAAAGAGTCAGTGGGAGTAGGATCGAACTTGAGGAAGTTCGAGAGCAGCAAGTAGACGCTGAGCCGAGTGAACAAGTTGAAGAAGTTCAACTGGTTTTGACTCAACCTTCGACGAATGAACCTCGGAGATCAGGCAGGATTCGCCAAGAGCCTGTGAGATACAAATTTCTCGTGACTGGGAATGAGGAGCTCATGTTGTTGGAACAAGAGGCTATGGCGAGTCCCGACTCCGAGAAATGGCGCGAGGCTATGAAGTCCGAGATGCAATCCATGTCAGACAACCAAGTATGGACTCTGGTTGATGCATCTGAATGGATAAAACCCATCGGATGCAAGGGATCTTCAAGAAGAAGACCGACATGGATGGCAACGTGCACACGTATAAAGCACGACTTGTGGCGAAAGGATTCCATCAAATTCATGGTATTGACTATGATGAGGCCTTTTCGCCCGTAATTATGCTGAAGTCCATCAGGATCCTGCTTGCCATAGCCGCATATTACGACTATGAGATATGGCAAATGGATGTCAAGACCGCGTTCCTTAACGGAAACTTGACCGATGATGTGTACATGACACAACCCGAAGGTTTTGTCGATCCAAGGAACCCGGGGAAGGTGTGCAAGCTTCAGAGGTCCATTTATGGACTGAAGTAGGCCTCGAGGAGCTGAAATCTTCACTTTGATGAGACAATCAAAAGGTTTGGTTTCTCACAGAACGAAGACGAGCCATGTGTTTACAAGAAGGATAGTGGGAGCACAGTTGTATTTCTAGTGCTGTACGTGGATGACATGTCCCTCTTGGTCTCCCCGAGCTCCCCTTGCACTGGTTCGTCCCCTTTCTCTCCCTTTCTCCCCTTTTTCTTCTTCCTCTGTTTCTGTCTGAAAATGCCTAAGTCCCAGGTTGGGAGAGGTTTATGGCGCGAGATAGGGAGTTCGTGGGCTCAAGCCCAAACCCATAGGCGAGCCTGCAATGTCCTCGAGGCGTGGGAGGCGGCTAGACGGCAAGCGGGCCCCAAAATCCGGCGAATTCCGCGTCCCAAGGTGGCAAGTTGACAAGTTGCGGAATCTGTTATTCCCGGTCCGCCGGACCAACTTCCTGGTCTGCCGGACCAGGGTCAGTTTATTTTTTTTTTGAAATTCTTCTCCCAGTCCGCGCGTCTATTCCCACTCCGACTGAGCGGTTGGTCCACGGCGGACCATTCCTGGTCCGGCGGACCAACCCTGTATTTTTTGTTTTGTTTTCTTTTCCTTTTCTTCATTCTTTCTCGGTCCTTTCCGCACGTGACGATCCTCGTGCCTCTCCCCGATATTGTACCATCACTTTTGGTGATTTCGTGATATCTCTATTTAATTATTAATTTTTAATAATTAAATATTCAAATCGGGTTCCGGGGTATTACAGTAGCATTGTCGATTTGGCCACATCAACGAGAAACGCATAGCGAAGCTTCATTCTGATGGACTTCTTTATTCTTTTGATTATGAATCAATCGAATCATGCGATTCATGTTTGATGGGCAAGTTGACAAAATCTCTTTTTACTAGAAAAGGAGAACGGGCTATGGAGTTGCTAGAACTCATACATAGTGATGTGTGCGGTCCTATGAGCTTGTCCGCTAGAGGAGGTTATCTGTATTTTGTTACGTTTACTGATGATTTCAGTAGGTACGGTTATGTCTACTTGATGAGACATAAGTCTGAAACGCTTGAATTGTTCAAGAATTTCAGAAACGAGGTACAGAACCAACTTGGCAAGACGATCAAGTTGCTTCGATCTGATCGAGGTGGCGAGTATATGAGCCAAGAGTTCACTGACTATCTGGCAGATTGTGGGATTGTCTCACGGCTGACTCCACCTGGAACGCCACAATGGAATGGCATTTCCGAGAGGAGGAATCGAACCTTATTGGATATGGTACGGTCTATGATGAGTCATGTCGATCTTCCTAAATCCTTCTGGGGCTACGCTCTGGAAACGGCAGTGCTTATACTGAACAACTGTCCAACAAAGTCGGTTCACAAGACTCCATATGAGATATGGACTGGGAAGCGTCCCAGGTTAGCATTTATGAAGGTTTGGGGATGCGACATTTACGTGAAACGTCTGGCTTCTGATAAGCTATCTGCCAAGTCTGATAAATGCATATTTGTGGGTTACCCTAAGGAAACTAAAGGGTACTGGTTCTACAACCCATCTGAGAACAAAGTGTTTGTTACTCGGAATGTATCTTTCTTGGAGAGAGAGTTCGTCTCCAAGAGAGTTATGGGAGTAGAATAGATCTCGAAGAAGTTCGAGAACCACAAATAGTAGAGGAACCGAGTGAACAGGGCGAATCGATCCAACCTGTGTCACAAGTTGTTGAGACAGCACCTCCTGTGAACCTCGGAGATCTGTTAGAATTCGCGAAGAGCCTACAAGATATGGTTTTCTTGTGACTGGAAACGACGAACTCATGTTGTTAGAACATGACGAGCCTACGTCGTATTCAGAGGCTGTGGCGAGTTCCGATTCCGAGAAATGGCACCAGCCCATGGAGTCTGAGATACAGTCCATGTACGACAACAAAGTATGGACTTTGGTCGACTCATTCGATGGTATTAAGACCATTGGATGTAAGTGGGTTTTCAAGAAGAAAACCGACATGGATGGCATCGTGCATACCTATAAGGCACGACTCGTCGCGAAAGGGTTTCGGCAGATTCATGGTATAGACTATGATGAAACCTTTTCACCAGTTGTGATGCTTAAATCCATACGGATTCTGCTGGCCATAGCTGCGTATTATGACTACGAGATATGGCATATGGACGTCAAGACCGCATTCCTTAACGGGAATTTGCTCGAGGATGTGTGTTGGTTTAGTGCTCTATGATGTACTGATTATGAGCTTTGTTAAGATACATTCGATGTATTGATACTTTCTATGTGGTTTTATGAGAGTATTTTATTCATTACATGTTCTTGCATGCTAGATCTGTTATGAAATCCATGTATCATTAGGAATGATACTAAACTCCCTAGTCTTGTGTCGTTATGGGAATAACGACATAATAAGACTAGTATGATGTGTGATTGATGATCACATAGATGATCATAAGTATTGGATACGATCACAATCATAGGTATTCGTTGGAGAACGGAATACTGGAATGACCCAACTATGCCTTCAGGCTTCGAGGCATCCGGGACTTGGAACACGGCGTTATGCCTGTTCGGATCAAATGGCTCGTTCAAAGGATCATACTTCTCCAGACCAAATTTCTTGAATACCTGCAGATCACAGATGAATTGTCTTTTTTCAGAAACCACCCTCGTGTATGAGTTTCTTGTCTCGACAAGAAGGGTGACAAGATCAACACAAGAGTGAGAGATATAGCATCATCTACAAGAAGCTCTACCTCGGCTAGCTGTTTCTCAGTCATCTCCACCCCTTCTAGAAGGGTTTTTAACAGCGGAGCAGCCCCAGCCGAATCTTTCGAAGTGTCAATCTTTGAGAAACTATCTTTGACAACCGAAGAAGCTCTTCCAAGATTATCTGCCACATCCAAAAGACTCTTTGCGAAATTCTGCAGTAACGTTTCAGAAGGCGGAAGTATCAGTACATGTCTTGTAAAGAGAACAAGTTATCCAAGAAAGATGGCGTCCAAAAATACTAACCTGTATAGCATACTTTTTGGAGTTTTCGGCTTCCCGTCTTGTCCTGTCCATGACATTTTCCATCTCTGCGTAAGTGCGAAGAACTTTGTCTTTCATCTGTCCAAGCTCTTGGTGCTTGGTCTTTAGAAGCTCCTCCTTCTCAGCCACGAGTTTCACCAAATCATCCCTCGACAAATCATCAGCGTCGGTCTCTGAATCTGAATCAGAAAATGCAGTTCGTTTAGTACCCCTCCGCCTGCTTTGCACGGAAGAATCACCAGATTCTGAATCAAGACCTGATTCTTCTGTCTCGGTTGTAGCTTTCCCTGTCTCGGAATCTTTATCAACAGCACCTTCACTGGAGTTCGATGCCTCGGTGTTATTATTCTCTTTCTCATTGGGTTCGGGTGATGCAGAGGAAGAAAAACCAAATCTTTGAAAGGCAGAGGAATTAGCAGTGAGGTGATCGAAAAGGGACACCTGAGCTGGAACAAGCTGCAACGGGAAATCGTAAGCCGGGCAAGCAAAATTCAATGACCAAATCCTACTCTATTTGCTAAAAACCCTACATGAAAGCAATCCTCATGTAAAGATGAAAGATGAAGAGGAACACTGAACCCGAGGGTTTTGTCGATCCTAAGAGTCCGAGGAAGGTGTGTAAGCTTCAGAGATCCATTTATGGACTGAAGCAGGCTTCGAGGAGCTGGAATCTTCGATTTGACGAGGCTGTCAAAGCGTTTGGCTTCCTGCAAAACGAAGATGAGCCATGTGTTTACAAGAAGGTCAGTGGGAGCGCAGTGGTCTTCCTAGTGCTTTATGTAGATGATATATTACTCATCGGAAATGACATTCCTACCTTGCAAGGAGTAAAATCCTAGCTAGGATCAGTCTTTTCGATGAAGGACTTACGAGAAGCCACCTATATTCTAGGAATCAAGATCTATACAGATAGCTCGAGAAGGCTTCTTGGTCTAAGTCAGAGTACATACATTGACAAGGTCTTGAATCGGTTCAAGATGCAAGACTCCAAGAGGGGTGCCTTGCCAATGGGACATGACGTAGCTCTTAGCAAGACTCAGTGTCCAAAGACACATGATGAGCAAGAGCGGATGAGTAGGATTCCATATGCCTCGGCAATTGGATCCATCATGTACGCCATGTTGTGTACTCGTCCGGATGTATCATATGCAATAAGCATGAATAGTAGATATCAGTCTACACCAGGTGAGGTTCACTGGATTGCGGTCAAGAACATCCTTAAGTACTTGAGAAGGACTAAGGATTTGTTCTTGGTGTATGGCGGATTGGAAGACGAGCTCGTTATAAGTGGTTATACCAATGCTAGTTTCTAAACCGACATAAATGACTTCAGATCGCAGTCAGGTTATGTTTTCTTCCTAAACGGTGGGGTTATCAGTTGCAAGAGTTCCAAACAGCCAACCGTGGCAGATTCAACTACAGAAGCCGAGTACATAGCAGCATCGGACGCAGCTAAGGAAACTGTTTGGATCAGGAAATTCGTGGGAGACCTGGGCGTCGTTCCTAGCATTGCAGATCCCATTGAGTTGTATTGTGACAACAATGGTGCGATTGCGCAAGCTAAGGAACCCCGGTCACACCAGAGATCCAAACACATACTCAGGCGATTTCACTTAATCAGAGAAATAATCGACGTGATATGACATTTGACTTTATATTGATTCATTAGTTTATGAATGCATTACTCTTCCCGTTATATGATTGGCATGTTTGTTATATTTCGGTATCCTTGAATCATTATAGAATGATTCTAAACACCCTGGTCAGTTATCATTGTGGGAACTATGATGAATTAAGACTAGCATGAGGTGTGATTGATGCATTGGATGCATTTCACAATCATGGGTACTCGTTGTGAACGAGTGACTGGTTGACCCGCATGAGATTGTCACATGGACAGAGTCATGACTTGAATCTCATACAGCGGTTCGTTCTTGGATCCTCAGACCTGAGATGTCTAGAGTATCTGATGTGAGGAGTGGCGTGTCTTGACTGCGTTAAACGTCGTCTTTAACCGGATGATTATAATGGCGTTGATCAGATACGTTCACGAATCATATGGAGATAATAGACATGCAATATGGGATTTGTCACCTCCTCAATAGGAGAGATATCGCTGGGCCCTCTCGTGGAAGTCGGACTATGAAAATGTGTGGCCACGCTATAGATGAAGTTGCATCTATTTTATTAGTTGATTTGCCAAGACGAGAAAGCGGTTGAACTTGAAGGGTGGCTCACACCATGCCCTTGTTCAACTTATGATATCGTGAGATAAAGGATCAGAACTCGAGCTGTTATTGCCTTGGTTAGATCACCTCTGACTCAATTCAACGTGGGTGGTCATGGCGTCTTGTTCGAGGCTAACCATGACTTGTAGATCGGGAATGGTTCTCGAGGCTACTGCCACTGCGAATGGGCCTACAGGGTCACACACCATTACGGATGGACTTATATGTGAAGTATCAGAAAGATGGACTTGGATTTGGTCGAACAAACGGTTTTCGGATCAAATCAGAGTGTCGGAACGGTTTCAGCCTTCTGACTCAGACCGAGTCAGTACTTGACTCGGACCGAGTCAGTTCCATGCGAGTCGAAGCCCAGAAAGTGTTTTGGGCTTGGCTGATGTTTTGACTCGGTCGAGTCAAAGTTTTTACTCGGACCGAGTCAATACTAAATGGGCCGAGTCAAGAGTTGACAATGGGCTTGGGCTGATTCATTCTGACTCGACCGAGTCAGAGTTCTGACTCGGACCGAGTCAATACTCGGAAAAAGTCAAGGATTAGGGTTTGTATCTTATAAAAAGGGTATTGGACGCCGTCCTCAACCTAAGACAAACTTTCCGAACCCTAAGACAGAGCAAAAACTCAGAAGAAATCGTTTCTTTCATAGTTCTAGCTCCCGAGATCAGATCCCACTTCATATACTTCACAGATCCTAGCAGATCGGTTCCAAAAGCGTTTGGAATCCTTCCTGTCGGTGTGGATACGTGTAGAGGGACTGTAACTTCAGTCCTAGGTGATTAAACAGGCCCCGGATCGACTCCTACTTCCGTTTCTTCAGGAAAGAGGTAAGTATTCGATTCCCACGGTGATATACACGATCTGTTCGGGTTTTGCAGGTTTGGTTGCGTGTGACGTTTGACTAGGTTTAGATCTTTCTTCCGCTGCATGAAACCTAGTAAACCAAACCCTAGATCGATATGATCGCATGCTAGGAACCCGTAGCGAAATCCAACAGGGACCTCAGACCGTCCGTTCTGGAGGCAGAACGGACGTTCCAGGCTTGCAGAACGATCGGTCTGAACCATCCGGAACGGACGGTCCACAACAGACGGAACGGACGGTCCAGAGCGGACCATCCGTTCTGATCTATGCAATCCGCTATCCCGGACCGTCCGGTCTGGCTTACCCGAACGGACGGTCTAGGGTTCGTCTACGTGATCAGATCACGTTCTACGGTGTTCTCGACCCCGATCAGACCCGAAACTGATATGAATTCTTCTGTACACCCAAAATTCGAACTCCTGCACTCTATGCAACATGAAACATGCAATCTACACTAGATTCAATCATCAATCATGCATAGAAATCTAAGCAAACATGGATTCAAACAATTCAAATCCTAAAACGTGCGTGATCGGGTTCTACGAAATCAAAACAAAGGAACCAGGCTCTGATACCACAGATGGGATTCCTGGGGTCTCTAGAGTGAATCCTATTCCTAAGAGTTCGATTCTAGGGTTTGCGCAGTGGATGTAAAACAAAAATTATTAAACCCTAGAATCATGCTGCTATGAATCGTAGAAACGTTAGAACGCTTACTTTAATCGATCCGGACCTGTATCAACTGAAGAACTCGTCCGATCACGAAAGGGAGGAAGATTACCTCGCCCTCTACACATATCCACACCTCGGGATGGATTCCAACGGTTGGAACTTGTCTGCTAGGACCCGAATCTGCTATTCAGTTTCGCGCTTCGAGAAAACAAGACTAGGAAACTCTTGGATCTTTTGGATCTCACCAAAAGCTGTCAAAAGTCTGCTCCAGACGGCTCTCAAGTCTCTTAATTAATTAGGGTTTTTAATCTCCTTCTTATAAGGTGATTTAACCCTAATTCGGTCTAATTTTCGAAAAACCCGAAATCCGGAACGGACGGTCCGGAATTGCACGTGGATCGTTCGTTCCAGCACATAGAACGGACGGTCTGACTGAACGAACCGTCCGTCCCAGACCTTCTAGAACGGACGGACTGCGTTCTGGACCATCGGGTCTGGACCAGGCAGACCGTCCGGTCCGCCCTTATGGTCCGTCCGTTCCAGTCCCTTCCGTCTCGTTTTTTCATCGTTTTCTCTCGTGCATTTGTCCTTCCCTGCGTGTATGACCCTGTAGGCTCATTCGATATAACAGTATAACCCGAAATCTCTATTTCGGATATACAAGTCATAGGCGGTCTCTAGCAAGACACTATGACTACCTATCTCGAATAGAGTTTGTTCGTGATCTTACGAACGCCAGTGATGATTCCGACTGATGATCCTTTTGTACCGCGATATCATATGTCGAACATAAAGCATGGACAAGCCACCTTATCTGATTCGACTGCTTTCTCGTTCACTGAGTTCAACTGTCTGAAATAGACGATGCTCGTCTATAGTGCGACCACACATTCCTACAGTCTCGCTCACACGAGGGGCCCAGCGATATCTCTCTCTTTTACGAGAGGTACCAATCCCGTCTTGACTATCTACAATCCAGCACATCATTCGTTTCGTACTTGATACATGCCTTTATAGTCCTCCTGTTACGCAGGACGTTTGACGTATTCAAAGCACGCAACTCCTCATGTTGGATTCTGTAGATATCTCAGGTCTTAGGATCTGTAATACCCCGAAACCCGAATCGAATATTTAATTATTTTGGAAATAAATAATTAAATAGAGATGTCGCGAAATCACCAAAAATGGAATAGTACAATGCCGGGGAGAGGCACGAGGATCATCACGTGCGGGAAGAATCAAAAAAAAAAAGAGAGACAGAAGAAAACAGGGTTGGTCCGCCGGACCAGAATTTGGTCCGGTCCGGCGGACCGGGAAGTTGGTCCGGCGGACCGGGAATTGAAAGATTGCAACTTGCCAACTTGCGGTCTTGGGACGCGGTTTTCGCCGGATTCCGGGGCCCACTTGCCGTCTAGTCGCCTCCCACGCCGCGAGGACGTTGCAGGCTCACCTATGGGCTTGGGCTTGAGCCTACAAACTCCCTAGCTCGCACCATAAACACCTCCCAACTCTGGCACTTAGCCATTTGCGAACAAAAAACAGAGGAAGAAGAAGAAAGGGAGAAAGGGAGAGAAAGGGGACGAACCAGTGCAAGGGGAGCTCGGGGAGGCCAAGCGGGACGTGCCCAGACGTGCTCCGAAGCTTCTCACGTCGTGTGGAGCCACATGGAACGCACACAAGCTCGGACAAACTCAAGAACAAGGTGAGTGGCTTGAGTTGGATTTGTGAGAGCTT